GCCATAAACTCATTAGATGCCCTCCTCAGACCTCCATCAGAGGCTATGGCTCAGTAGCAGAGCATCTGCTTTGCATACAGAAGGTCCCAGGCTCAAGCTCCAGTATCTCCAGTGAAAAGAATCAAGTAGGAGTTGGCATGAGAGACCCTGGAGAAATGCTACCAGCCAGAGTAGACAATACTGACCTTGATAAATCAACGGTCTGACTCAGCAGAAGGCCAACCTCATTTGTTCAAAAGCAAAATGGGGATGTCTACCATAGAGACCTCCTTAGAGGGTGACTGTGTTTCTTCCACAATAATCTCCGTAAAGAACCTGGATCGCTTGAAAGGGCGAAGTCTTATTATGACAGTATTTTTAATCGCTGCAGCCCTCCGGCTGATGTCCCATTCAGAGTATTATTTGTAAATATTGTTTAGTCACAGCTTTTGGGAACGTAACTAATTTGGAATTGGTAACCCTGCTGTTAGTCTACCACCTCTCTCTGTGACTTCTGTCCAACGCCTTTGGTTGGCCAAACCCAGCTGGAGTGTTTAGCAATAGGAACCCCCACTGTGTAACCCAAGGCAAAGCGATTCCGTGACCAAATAAGACCTGTGACATACCTTGCATTCAAAGCAAACATTTCAAAATGGAAGCTTGTCTGAGTTTCTGTTAGTCTGGAGATTTGAGTGATCTTTAAAGCAAAGTAACACAAAAGGTTTATGCAGGGGCTGTGTGAAGTGTGGAGCAACCTTTTCTGGCCTTGCTGAATCCAGCTGCACATTCAGACAACGTCGATTTAAAGAGTCTTGCCACTCTGTTCATATAGATGATGCAATAAATACGAATTCTTTTTAAAGCAGGATTACAGGCATAAGTACTTGCCATATGTGTAGTAAATTTCTGATGGTACAGAGAATGGGTGGGGGAGTTTCCAGTTTGGGTAAGGTTCCCCCCCCCCCCATGTCTGTTGTCCTGTACAAACCATAAGAGGAGATTTTAATAAAGTGAATAGGACTGTAACTTTAAGCGACTGTGGACAATTTTAGACAGTTTTTTTAAAAATTGCACTATGTCGAAACACATTCGTCTGGACTGTACACGCTTCCAAAGAAATACACAAGAGGAGATTTTAATAAAGTGAATAGGACTGTAACTTTAAGCGACTGTGGACAATTTTAGACAGTTTTTTTAAAAATTGCACTATGTCGAAACACATTCGTCTGGACTGTACACGCTTCCAAAGAAATACACCTCTTTCTCATTTTATTTGGTTGTAATAGATACTGTCTTCTCGTCTAAAAATCTTGGTTGTGAATATTATGACTGTTTTAAAACAAACATAAAACCTTTTTATTTCTTTGTATTGAAATATATGTTTGAGGATACCTTGTTATGGACTGATACAAATGTTAAGGAAACTTTTTTCTGTATGTTATTTGTTTAAAGTTTAAAAGTTTTTTAAAGAGAGAGAGAGAGAGAGAGAGAGAGAGAGGACACTCTCCCAAGTACACAAAGCAGTATAACTTTGTACATTTTTAAAGGGAGGGGGAGTCTGGTCAGGACTGTGCTCCGTGCCCTCCCAACCTGGAGGGAGGGGGAGTTGAGAATTTGTTATAAGGAACAAAGAGGAAAACAGAGGGGGGGGAGGGAAATTAGTCTGTTCTCACCAGTTTATAATATCTATGAATGAAGGAAAATTCACACTCCATTAGCCGGTATGGTAAAGAGCTCACACAACAATTCAGAATGCTCCCACCGTTCAAATAGCCAACTACCCCACTTTCTTCTGAGTGGCAGCTTGTCGGAACTCCTTTAAAAATAATTTCACAAATCACAGGGCAGAAAAAACCTTAAGCAACCTCAATCAAAAGTGGAAGGAGGGCCTTAATCCAGTTTTATTTCACAAAGTCATCAGAAACATTTATTAAATACCGGACTGTCTGCATCTAAACAATATGTACATAATACAAACAGCAGGCGCAACACACCTGCAAGGCTATGTCCGTCCTATTGTACAGGGGAAGAAAGCAGTCCACAATCCATAGTTTTAATTCCAATTCATTTTGGCTACTAGTTAGAGATAGACTATTGGCTCACTCACACAGCTGTGCAGCTGTGTTCTTTAATAACCTAGCAAAAGGCAGAAAACCAGCTGTGATGGGCAAAGGACCAGTGGAATTGTGTGTTTTTTGCCTAAGCAGCTGTTTCAAGGCCCAAGAGCTGCACTGAAGGGGGAAAGCTGAATCCTTTGTTTCCTAAACATGTGTGTGGACTGTGTGAGATGCTCAGGGGGTCACAGGAGCAACTATTGATGTGGCTAACTTGGAGTTGAACTGCTCAAGCCACTTCACACACATCCTCCAAGGAATACCAGGGTCATGACACAGAGGCAAGCAACAGCAAACCACCTCTGAATGCCTCTTGCCTTGAAAACCCTCTTGGGTCACCATAAGTCAGCTGTGACTTGATGGCCAAAAATCACAGACAGGAGGCTGGGAGGTCATAGCTTGACTAATGAAGCTTGTGGCAAAAGGGACAGACCCTCACCATGCAGCCCTAAGACCACTTTCCTGGTAGCAAGTCCCACAGAATAGACCTAAGTAGGATTCTGAGTAGGTCAGCCTAGGATGGCTTTCTTAGATTTCTGGGGGCGGGGGCTGTGGCTCAGTGGTAGAGCATTGGCTTGGCATGCAGAAGGTCCCAGGTTCAATCCCCAGTGTCTCCAGTTAAATGGATTAGGTAATAGATTGTGTATAAGACCTCTTCCTAAGACCCTGGAGAGCTGCTGCTGGCCAAAACAGACAGTACTAATCCTGATGGACTAATGATCTGATTCAGTATAAGGCAGCTTCATATGTGGGCAATCCTTTAAAAAACCCTTCTTGGGTCTAAGCCCCATTGAAGACCCTCCCTGGGGCAAAAACAGCTAGACAGACTCATAGGCAACCACACAGGAAAACAGGAGCCCCCCTGAAGAGTGAACAATTTGTCCCTAAAAGAAAAGGGAGAAACCATCGATGAAAAGGAGGTCCCTGGTGGCTCCTGCCCCCCTGCTTAACCGTCATCTCCTTCAGCTTTTTCAGTCTGATTCCAGAGGAGCATCAGATTTCTGCCATGTACGAGCCTGATTTATTCATGATAATAATCTGAAGCCTTCAAGACTAACAGTGTTGTTCCAAACAAAGGTTGCATGCTCTAGAGCCCAGTTCCCCAGATGCAATGAAATGCAATAGGAGGCTTGAATAATAAAAAGCAGGGTCAAGGGCCCTTGGGTACAGGTCTTAGTTGGCTTAGAAAAACTAGTGGATGGTCTCTAGACTTTTGTCTGCATTTTATGTAATAACACTTCCCCCTGTAACTTCCTGCATTTCACAGCCCATTGACCCTGGCTGCTGTTTCTATTTCTCCCCCCCCCCCCAAATACCTGGTATATAAAGTGCCACTGGCCTGCATCTGAGGAAGTGGATTCTAGTTCACAAACACCCAGGCTGGAGTAAAACTGTGCAAGTCTTTCAGGGGCCTATTTATTCTTGCTGCAGTAGGCTCATGCCCTCTGGAATGGCCTGCACAAGGCTATTTTTGACATCATGAGACATCTTTAAAGAAAAAGAACAGAACAGAAATCAGCACGCGTTATGGCCTGAGTATTGCATGGCTGGAGGGAAGGGCTATGGCTCAGTGACAGAGCACATGCTTTGCACTAGAAGGTCCCAGGTTCAGTCCACCATGTTGAAAGGTTCACAGGTAGGAGGTGTTGGGAAAGACCCAGGAGAGCTGCTGCCAGTCAGAGGAGACAATCCTGAGCCAGAACAAAGAATGGTCTGATTCAGCGTAAGACAACTTCTTATGTTCTGAAGCGAAATACCTCTTCGATCCAGGCAGACAAAATAAAATACTTCCCACACAATTAATCTGTGAAACTCACTGTCGTGGATGTGGTAATGGTCACTACCCTTGGGGGACTTTTAAAAGGGCAGGACAAATTCATGAAGGACACATCCACACATGGTTGTCGAATGGGATCTCCATGCTGAGATGCAAGATGTGTCTTAATGTCCATCGCTGAGGAAGAGCAGTAGAAGGCCACTGTAGTCTCCATAGCTAGATGGTTTAGATGGACCATTCATCTGATCCAGCAGGGATCTTCTTAGGTTCTTTTTAAACAATGAGGCAGTGGTGGTGAGCAGAAGGTAGACGGTGGTTGATGCTGACTGCTGAAACTCTTGCAAAGAATGTTGGGCTAGGTGGTCCTTGATCTCCTCTTGTGTTCTGAAGCAAGAATGCATACTCAGAATCCCATCCTGAAGGCAGAGGGCACTTGATAGGACATACCTATTCCTGTTTATCGCCCTCTCCTTCTAAGTTCAGGACAGTATAAATAGCTCTCCCCGCTCCATTTTATCCTCACAACGACTCTGTGAGGTAGGTTAGGCTGAGAGAGAACGACTGGCCCAAAGTCACCCAGCGAGCTTCCATGGCAGAGTGGGGATTCAAACCCAGTCCATGCTGGTTCTTGATCTCATTTCATCCCTTTTACAACTGTTGTGACCAACGTATAAAGCTTTGCTTCAGTTCTTTGCAGACCTTTACCTCTGGGAAATGTTTGCAAAAAGGTTGCATGTCAGATGTGAAATTCTCCCTACAGAATCAAAGACGTTTTTCTCATCTGGGTCAGGATCATGAGACCCAAACACAGCAGTTCCTGGAAGAGGATGCAATATTATATTCCCAAGTGGACATAAAAATTATGTCCCAAGTGGACATAAAAATTACCACTATACAAATGTCACAATTTTAAAAATGGGCTCCTTCCTATAAACAAAACAATCTGCTGCCATTTATCAATAGACTGAACAAAAACACTGACCGTTAGAGTTATGAAATGTATTAGTTTTCCCTCTCAGTTCGAAGGATTTTTTTCTCTCTTTTTCTTTTTGAAATAAAATTGTCTTTGGTCAAGCCAACTCCTTGTAAAGTGCAAGCGGAGAGAAGGTAATAATAAAAAAAGAGGGCCCCTACTGATTGGGACCATTGAAATAACTCTTGTCACCTTCAATGTCCACCTCTTGGTCAGAATCATCAGAGACCTCGGAGTCAAGCTCTTCCTGGGAAGCAGGTGAGGGGGTGTACCGTGGCAGGCTGGGCGACACCTCCTTATCTGGCTCAGAGCTTAGACAGCTCTCTTGTCTCGGATCCTGATGGCTGTCCCCACTCTCTGGTTCTTCTTTTTTGCTGGCTTGAGGGTTCTCCTGAAACAAAAGTTCCTGTTAATAGTTAAGCAAAGAAAATACATAATGAATTAGCACATCAAGAGAGGAAGCCACTGAATGGGAGAGTAAGAAGAGGCGGGGTAGAGATCTCCTGTTATGCTCTGTCATGGGGAGGGGCTGTGGCTCAGTGGTAGAGCCCCTGCTTGGCATGTAGAAGGTCCCAGGTTCAATACCTGGCATCTCCAGTTAAAGGACCAGGCAGTAGGGGAGGCTGAAAGACCTCTGCCTGAGACCCTGGAGAGCCTCTGCTAGTCTGAGTAGACAATACTGACTTTGATGGACCAAGGATCTGATTCAGTATAAGGTAGCTTCATGTGTTCATGAGAGTCTTGCTTATCTGAACAAAATCTTCTGAAGGTGCCACCCTGCAAAGGCCTGCTCTCATCCCTCCTTTTTGATGGCTCCCACCTTGTGGAATGGCCTGATTAAGGACATGCAGCTGAATCCCAGGACTCCCCAGTTGTAGCCCAGGACTTTCAGGACTATACCACACTGCTAGACTTCCACTATTGAAGTCTGGCTAGGAAGATGCTGAAATGAGCAAAGTAATTGCAGCAAGGTAGAGCATTGGAAGGGATTCACCTCCGTTCACTCATGTGTGTGCTCAGGTTTTGCTTAAAATTAGTCCTCCCACCTGGTTGTCGTTACATGTGAACAGGGGGACTTGGGTATGAACTGACAAGGATCACCCTGTTTGGCTTCTGCTAAAAACGGTTGCCTGTCTTCCTCTTTCCAGCAATGCAGCCCAATCTGGGCCACTCTTCCATGGCTACTTTTGAATAAAACTAGACGTGTCCGGAGGTCCTGTGTTCCTCATCACAGATCTCTCATGTAGATGCTTCCTGACCAGGCCCATTGCCAGGAATTTTAATTCCTCAGGGGGCATTGGAGCACTGGCTAATTTGATTTAAAGTAATTTAATTATCAGCTTCTCAGAGCTCTTGGGTGCAGCGGTGGCGGCCTCCACCTGGCCATCCCTGCCTGACCATAGCCAGGAATTTCTAAGTCGGGGGGCATTTTAATTCCTCAGGGGGCATTGGAGCACTGGCTAATTTGATTTAAAGTAATTTAATTATCAGCTTCTCAGAGCTCTTGGGTGCAGCGGTGGCGGCCTCCACCTGGCCGTCTGCTCTGCCTGCCTTGGGCATCTCTTGGCTCCTCCCTGGCACTTCCCTCCACCTACCAGAGCTGTCAGCCTGCCCGCTCGACTTCCCCCAATGCAGAAAAGATGCTCTGGGGGAGTTGGTTGGCAGCTGTGGGGACTAGGCTGGGAGGGGGCTCAGTCAGACCACTGCTTCCTGGACCGCGGTGGGCCAGGGCACATAAAAAGAGCACTGGCCTGGCTTCTGAGGGGTGACATGATCAAGGTTTACAAGATGATGCATGGGATAGAGCAGGCAGAGAAAGAAGCACTTTTCTCCCTTTCTCACACTACAAGAACTTGTGGGCACTTAATGAAATTGCTGAGCGGTCGGGTTAGAACAGATAAAAGAGTGATTAACACATGGAATTCACTGCCACAGGAGGTGGGGGCGGCTACAAGCATGGACGGCTTCAAGAGGGAATTAAATAAGCATATGGAGCAGAAGTCCATCAGTGGCTATTAGCCACAGGGTTAGAACAGATAAAAGAGTGATTAACACATGGAATTCACTGCCACAGGAGGTGGGGGCGGCTACAAGCATGGACGGCTTCAAGAGGGAATTAAATAAGCATATGGAGCAGAAGTCCATCAGTGG